CGACGCTCTGGCACGCCCTGATTATCGAGTGAAATGATAGAGAAAAAAAAAACAAGGATTCGACTCGTAGTTATCGATTCATGTACAAGAAACAACGATGGTGTATTTTCATGGGACGCACCGAAGAAACGTCGAGCTACTAGTTGCATTAATCTCGAAGCAATAAATATTAACGATGGTAATTCATTTAGACGATGAATTCTTCTTCACGATGAAATGAAAAAGATGGAAAACGAGGCACTTTTTTTTGTGCGATGACTACATTCGCCACAAAAAGAAAACGCATTTTCTGTTCGGTTTCTCACAGTCGTCGACGTGGTCTCGAGTTTCCAGATCGATCGAGGGGAAAACTGGTGTACGATCGACAAGTTTCGCTAAACGGACGCTCGGAATCTAGAAACTTTTTATCCGTGAACACGTGTGCTTTATGCTACGTTAACGATTATTAAAAAATGATCAATGGACTGCAGGCTGTTTATGCATTTATAGTAAATTTTAACATGCAAAGTGCAATAAAATAGAGACTTCGATATAAATTTCTATCTCATTATTATATTTATAAATTGACGTCTAAAACTGTGAATTTGCATAAACATCCCAAGTCTACTGATCAACATTGCAAAAGGGAAGCACGTAAGAAGGCACGTCTGCGATCTCAGTCATGAAGTTTTCAAGCTTAATCCCCCATGGGTGGTTTGTACGTTCTAACAGTTGCAAAAATATAATATTATCTCGTTCCCCGACCGCGTGTTCCTAAAATACTGTGTGTTCTCGCGTCTACGCGGCTTCGATTTCTAAAAAAAAAAAAACCTAACGAGCAATACCGAATTTCGAAGGCTCAAAATTGTCCTCGTTATTCGGAGGATAACGACAGTTCCGTATCGGAATTATTTCTCAACGCGAGAATAAATCTCGAGGAGATTGACCTTGGTAAAAAAAAGCGTCGACCCTCGACAACTAGTTCCGCGGAAACATTTTTTCTAAACAAAAGCCTCCGGAGAAAACTTACCACTATAAAAGGAAGAGAATTGCGTTCATTGTGTTCTTCCGAGCTAAACGCGTCGCTAAAATTCGAAGCTTCGCGCGAACCGACCCGCGGTTTTCAAATCGATTTAGTAGAAATTCGCGTTTACGCGTAAACGTCGAATTGGTTCGCGATACTACATACCTGTCTGTAGCTTAATCACGAAAATGTGGATACAATATACATATACTTTCACCTAGCTTGCGTATATAGTCCTCCAACCCTCGAGTACTATTGTTCAGGCACGATACAATTTTTTTACGCCTATCTGTTAGAGGATTTCAAGACGAATTCGGTAAGTATCATAACATAACATGTGTCAATTTTATTTTTAATTGAATTTTTGAAAGAAAATTGAAGGTAACCTTAAAAAATCATGAAAAAAAAGGAATTGACAAAAAATTTGCTATAATATATACGTTAAAACTCTCTTAAAATCATGCTATACCTGATAGAAACATTTTCGATCGGACTGCTAATAACAGAGTAATCTCTACTGATCACGATTCGTGGTTAACCCTCTATATCTCCACCACACCGAAACGATCATAATCGTTTCAGAGTACGTCACCTTTCGACCAGATTTGCCCGATCGGTCCTAATGTCAGCACTCAAGGGTTGAGCTAAACAACCAATTACGAACACCTTGTTTCGGAAGTGAAACGCCTTAGTCCCGTTGCAACACACGGCATCGCACTGGCACTTGGGTACACGTTTCGTAGAAAGGCACACACATACACACACACACACACACGTACACACACATACCCCGGTTATTAGACGCTCGTGTGCGAGATCGGCTGTTTCGTGACAGCGTTTTTCTCACTGAACTTCTGAGGAACATTATCCGCCGTCGTCAAATTTTTCACGGACTCGTCGCTGTCCAGCGAGCTGTGGTTGCTGTTCGGCCTGGAAAGTGCTTCGTTCACGTCCTGCAGCTGCGCGTTCTCGTAGCTCCGCCTGTTCCTCGTCATCACGGAATCATGCTGAAGCCTTAGGTCCTTTCTGATGTACTCTGGACTCGAGTTCCATTGAGCACCCTCGTAGAACCCTGATTCAGGAGAAAGATCCGACGTTGGTGAGATCGGTAACGCTGGAACAGGGGACTGACGAGACTTCGATGACGAATATCCGTTCGGGGATAAGTTAGGGTCCGATAGAGATGTCCTGTTGCCTTCAGACAGCGCTAACTCTTGGAGACGTGGCGATGCTTTCGGGAACTTCTCCGTCTCGATCGTTAGCCTGTCGTCGTTCGAGTTCAGCCTTCCTCCGGTGCACAGTTCAGGTGTCTCCTTCGATTCCTTCACGCAGATGTTCCTTTTGATCGCGTTCAGACCTTCCTTGCTCCCTGTGTGCCGTCTTGCAACGGTTAGACTGTCTTTATTATTGGGTTCTAAGGGTTTGTTCTCCAAAGGTACCAGTAGATACCTTCTGGATCCACTTAGGTTCCTCCTGGACCCATCCAGAGACCTTCTGTCTTCCTCCAAGCCACGTAGTATGTTTCTATGATAGAGGCTTCTTTTGGAGCTGTTCAAGGATTTCCTTTCTTCGTCCAGTAATGGATATTTGATCGTGTTTCGTCGACTGCCAGCTGGTCTCAGGAGGGGACTACCTTCTCTTGAAGTCTCTGGCTCTTCGTATATAATCTCACGACTGTTCTTTAGGATCTCCCTGTTCACTGCTTCCGGTAGGTGTTGCAGCTCCACCTCGCCCATCACTTGGATACCGTCAGGATCTAAATCCAGGATCCTGTAGTGGCCGTGATCTCGTGTTGGAATAGGTGGTCCTTGGTAACTCGAATCCCTGTAAGCGTGTCGATTGATGCACGTCTCGTCGACGCTGTTCTCGCTTCTAATGCTGTCCATGTGAGACAGAGGATGATTCTGATGGTGATTGGTCACGATCAACGAAGGACGATGACCGTAGTGGCAATGGCCGTCTGGACAGGTGTCCCCTAGGTAGTCCTCGTCGACTATCACTCCTGGAAATTGGTCTTGTACTTAGGGGGGACTGATCTATTGTTTCTTATTGCTGAAAAATACGCTTCGGTCTTGACGAGTGAACTGTTACATTTACCAATTACCACGTTTACTGGGATAGGAATTCCGAAAGTTCAAGTATCGCCCAACCTTGTGGATAACAAGCTTCAATTAGTTCCTCGAATGTTAATCGTTCCCGGGAAATGCATGCTCGATTCGAAACCAGATATTCGATAGATTTTGGGAAGAAATGGTGTTCACCCCAGATGATTTACAATGTGTATACGGTTGATTGTATTTATTAGTCGATGATACCCCTTTTACCAGCTACCCTCCCGATATTGCGTCGTATCGTGTCACGGAACGATCTTCAGCAAGGCCACGTCGTCACCGCGAGCGGAACCAGGATAACAACGGGGGACAGACACAAGCGATTACAGATGGATCGAAGTCGAGCTTCCTTCGATCCTCTTTTCTACTAGACTTTCAACATGAAAATTATCCTCGTCTGTGACCTGGATCGTGATACTCGGATGTCACTTCGTTAAATCAAAGAAAACAGATCTCTGAACGTCTAGATTCATCAATGTAATCATCTCGCTACAGTGAATCTACTTTCTATCCGATCACTTCCCTCCTCCCCCGTCACCTGGCTGGAGGACGACACCTCAGACATCTGGACAGTCGTCGATCGATGGAATGTCGATGTGGAGTTTCGATGATCCTTGGGAGGAGTGTCCTGGTGGGATCAGAAACTCCGTAACGTCTGGTTGATTCACGGTTGTCAATACGATCGGAGGGGACTTCGGCTCGCTAGGGATTTTCCGCAGGCCTCCATCTACGGTATATATCCAGCACCAAGAGTCAGACAAACACACAGATGGGATTACGAAGCTGGGTGAAAAAAAAACAAAGCAGAAAAGCAGAAGCAAGCGGTAATGGAGGCGTGCAACATCCGAGGCTGTGGTGGTTTGGTATCGATTAGTTTGATTCGCGTGTGCATCCCAATTAGTGCTCGCATTGGTGGCTGGCCTTGCTGTATCGTTAGTGGTGTTGTTTTGTAACGTGTTATTGGTCGCGATACCCATGCTGATGGTCGTAATGACGAAGATTTTTAATTGCGCCCCGGACATGCGCTAGTCTAGTGGAACATCGATGCTGTCCGAAGTTCTGTGATGTGCAGAGCGTGTTAACGACTAGGTGTGTCTGGGGTTAAACACGGTTGGAATAAAGTTTGGGATAGGAGTGTATGGAAAACGAGGGTGAATTCATTCATCGGAAATCTAGAGAGATTCTATTGGAAATAGGGCTATTACGAATATTCGAATAGCAGTAGAATTCGAATTTTATATTCGAAATATTCGAAGTATTCGGATTATTCGTACTATTTGATACTATTCGAATATTATCCGAATACTATTCGAATTATTCGTATTCGAAATTATTCGAACTATATGATGTTAACTATCGTCATCGACAGATGATTCGATCAAACATACGGTGGATTTAAAATTGAACTACTCTACGATCGTAATTGGATAACAATCAAACTATCACGTCCCCGATTGGAAATTCACAAATCGGACTAGATATCCTCTTCAACGCTAAATCGTTCACTAGCCTCTCTAACCGTCCCGCGGCACACTTACCGTTCCCATGACGGATCTCCTCCTGCGCCTTGTAAAACTCAGCGAGCTCTCTACCCGAGCACAACGGCGTGTCCACTTGCGTGGTGCTGTTGAACAACGAGTAATCCACCTCGTAACCCTGTCTCTCCTTCGAGTACGTGACCATCGGCTCGAATCTATGGCCCCAAAGTATCTCCTGGGGTAAATAGCTGGATCTAGCCTGTGTAGTCTGTCCAGTGGACTCGATCGTTCCTTCGAGAATCGCCACCACCTCGAATCTCTCGATCAGCATATCCTCCGCGGACATGTTGTAGAACGGTGAATCAGCATTGATTTTATGAACGATCGTGGTCGGCCAGATGAAGAAGAAGTTCCCGTTCTCACCGTCCGTGCCCACCGCCAATTCCTGTTGATTCTGGGACAGCACCTCGCCCTCTTTGGTGGTCCTCGATCGGATCAATTGGGCGCAAACCGCTGCCCCAATGATATGGCTCTTCCTCATGTCACCGACACGGAACATCAAGCACAGTTCGCCGTCCCTCTGACAGATCACAGCGTTCCTGGAGAACAGCAACGTCTGCGTCCGTTGTTTCGGTCTGCTCATCTTCGCGAACACGATGCCCACCATGAACGCTTGGATTATCACGCCCGATATACTCTGGACGCACATCACGAAAATCGCCTCGGGGCATTCCTCGGTGGTCGAACGGCTACCGTAACCGATCGTGTGCTGGGTCTCGATACTGAATAAGAAACAACTTGTGAACGAGAAGATGTTGTAGATACACGGGGTCCAGTTGTTCTCGATCTGGAACGGCGGCAAGTGACGTTCCTCGAAGTCACCGTGGGTGAACGCGATCAGCCACCAGATCACCGCGAAACCGAGCCAGGAGAGCACGAAACTCAGGCTGAAGCAGAGCAACGTCCAACGCCATTGCGTGTCCACCAGGGTCGTGAATATGTCCTGAAGGAAACGACGGGAACGACGCGAGATACGGGACTGGAGGACGTTGCAGTCGCCGTTCTTCAGCACGGCTCGACGACGCAGCTTGCGGGTTGGCCCTGCTCTGTACCGGCTCCTAGAAGATTTAATAAACTTCAGTTGACGGATAATACACTCGAATATTCGAATAGCCGTAGAATTCGAATTTTATATTCGAAAGTATTCCAAGTATTCGTAATATTTCGACTATTCGAAGTATTTGAAGTGATCGAATATTGGATTGTAGTATATTATTTAATGGTAATGAAAATATATTATTTAATGGTTTATTGGCAAATTTCAGGCTGTATTTCTGTTTCATACAGATATATTATTTACTTATTTATTTATTAACGGGGTAAAGGCCCTTTGGTAACAAAGTTATCATTAGACTGCGGATTTTATGCATTCATAGCACACACGATTCCCTAGAATTATGACTCGGTAAAGATTTTTGCAAAACTTTTGTCGAGACCAGCTTTTAAAAGAAAATAATCTTTTTACAAAACGAAATCGAGTTTTTGGAATTTAAAAATTAGACTCCAATCCACTCCTACTATGTGCATTGGTTATCCAAAGTATTGTACGCCTGTTACAAAACGCATAACAATTGCGTTACGTTTCACGAGCCCTCACTTGATAGCTCTCATTCTATTCCTATATTTATCACCACTTATCACTAGTACCTAGCATATCCTCATCGTTGGTTACACGCACATAATTATAAACTTATGAATTCTACTGTTTCCGATAAAACCAGTGCATGTGCAATATTTTAAAACACCCGTGTGACTGTTTAAACGTTTCAATTTGACAGATAGCTTGCTAATTTCTGCAAAGTAACGCCTTTTGTGTATTCGACGCGAAATCACAATCGATGGGAAGGGAACGCGATTCGCATGGCAACACGAGGCGAGATGAAAAATGAAGGATCCGTCACCGTGTCACTTCCATCTTGCGTCTTGCCAACAAGCATAATGAAATATATTGTTTCTTGCACAATTCGAGGGAATAAATTATGTCGGCCGAAGACTAGATGTAACACGCGCCGCAAAAATCATCGGCGAGGCCATTTCGCGAAGTCTTAACTCGACATCTGCGTTGATGTTAATATAGTCTCCTCGTAGAGATCAGAGAAGATTTGAATAACAAATCTCGAGGATCGTGTTCATTGTTGTCGCAGCATCGCGATCGATTGTCATCCTTTTTCGTCACGAATCTGACAGCTTGTGAGAAATCTCGACCAAGATATCGATACGTTACCGGGAGAAAAACGTTCGAGCGACGTAAGTATAACGTGGCTCGAACGTGCATGGTCTACACGATAATTAAAAATCGAACGAAAAACATCGAGCCAACAGAGAACACCGTACATAGATCAATCGAGTGAAATATTTGGTTTCCCGGTAACGTCGAAAAATCACGATCTATCGTACGATTTTATCATATTTCCCATAGAGAAGAACACTATTTTCCATTGATTATTCCGAGGAAACTACTCACGATGGATCCCTCCGCATTGTACATCATCGTTCTTGAACCTTTCCATGACAAACACTCGCAAGTAGTTCCCGAAATCACAACAATTTAATCTTCACAGTTCGAACGACCGCGAATATCTCCACACACATACACACGTACACTTGGTCAACCTCGACGCGACCCAATTACTTTTAATAACACATTTATCGTCGAATCGCCTAGACTTCGGTCGAGAATCTCGATAACTCGAACTATTCCCCTGTTATTCACGCGATCATTCATCCCAGCCATAATCCCCAAGATGATTTCCACGATTTTAAAACGAACGATCGCGATCGAAAACGTCCACGAGGGAGCTGCTCTCAATGGGACCACTTTTGTCACTGTTCGCCACACGCGACCCGTCGTCGACGGTTGTTTATTCACTTAAGAAACCGCGAATCAGACCGTGGGGGCCGGGGGATCCGCCGTGAAGACGGGAACGGTACACGGACCTCTTAATCAGCGACTGATAAACTCGATCGAACAGCAGCGAACGGTTCTGTTCACGATTCCGTCGTGGTGACAGAAACGACGCGACGCACGAGGCGATTTCACTACGGGCCTCTCCGGGGTCTCCCTTTCGTACGGGCAGAAAGGAAGTCGCCATTCTCGACTTCGAATGATAACCGAGCAACTGTTATCTACCAATTTATTTATTGCCACGCGTAAATCAACCGGGCCGGAGAGTCGACGACACGGAGTGAACTCCGCGATTTCGTTCGGTTATCATCGATCGTTCCTTCGACGATCGTGTTTTTTCTTTTTTTGAAGATGAATATGATTTAAAAAAAATTTTATTTTAATCGAGACGAAGAGTCGATACTTTTTCTCTGAAAATTTTATTATATTAGATCTTTCATTGAATATTTCATTCACTCTTCAAGGTCCAGACCCTTAAATCGTTATTTCAAAATTAAGAGACTGATATATGTGTAAGAATTACTTTAATTTTTGAGGTGACAGTTGGACAATAGAGCCTTATCCTCGTTGATCCTTATCATCTGTCTTAATAAAGTGGATAGATTAAATAAAAATTAAACATTTACTATTGTAATGGTGGATCGATGGATCGTTCGGGGACATAATTTTACGCGACCTCCAACGATTCGTCGCCAAGATATCGACAGATCTGGAGTTGCCCCGTTATCGAGACATCATTGATAAGGCTAGTTCATAACAAAGAAAAAGAAAAGAGGTTTTTTGGTGTGTCGTCGCGAACGATTCGAGGAACGTGTAATAAGGGTGATCGATTACAAACACAATTGGTTCGTGAATTAATTAGACATACGTAGGTATTTCTGTGAACCGTATAAATGTCGGAAACTAGATCTAAAAGAATGTACGTACAAGTGTGACAGCGGTTGCGCTCGGTGGACATTAATTTGCGGTATTAATGAATAATGATTAATTCCGCAAGTCCATTTATTGGCGCGAATAGTGTATTGCGCAGCGTGAATTCCTTGTCGATAGATAGTCGTGGCTGAAATTACGATTTACCTGCTTCTGAACGACGCGTTCGGGCTCCTCGATAGTTGCAAGATTATGGGAGTGGTCGGTGTCACCGGTGTCAATAAATTTTCCTTCTCGCCGCAATCGGGCGAGGATGATTTCACGCTCAGATGTAGACTTTTCGGAACGTCCCCGTTCATTTTTTATTTTTTAGCACACTTGACTGTTACCAAATTAATTAAATGGCGAGTCCTTGAAGAAAATTGTGGTTTCCTCTCGATTTAAAATCGTTCGCATCGATACATGTCGATGATTACCAACAAGATTTCTTGTTCGTTTCCAACACAGTGACAAGTTTCGTAGAAAAATCCGTGTCTTTTTCACACTTTTGATCGCTTGTACTTCTCGATTGATTCTCGAGATTACAACAAGATTGCGATCTCTCCAATCACTTTTTCATTTTAAATCGTTGTGACACTTTGTATCACACGTGTGATTCGTGTTAGAACAGCCTCGATCTTTTATCGGTACCAGGATCAATGCTCGGAGGATTTTGTTTTTCTCCCTATTCTTCGATCCAGCAAATATCTCCACGGTTCGCGATCATAGATCGTAGATAAACAGACACCGTAACTTATCTTCCCCTCTCCTGATGGAATTTCGCTGGTGTGTGTACACGAGGTATTTAAAGATCTTCGTTAAACTCTCTCTAAATAAATGCCGATAATTCAATCTTTTTCGCACGATTCTTATAAGATTTGGAGGGGGATTAATCGCTCCTTATCTCCCCTCGTTTCGGTAACGATAATCGTTCAGGGGAAGTGTGTCGATCTGTGACAGGCCGTGAATTATTGTAATGCCGAAGTTTAGTAGCCACACCGTCATTATATTCCCGTCATTAATTATCACGCACTTCAACCAGCCTTTCACTTATCTGGAATCTTGCTGGATGTCTCTTACGCTTATCGCGAACAATCGTAGTCAAGATGGAAAATGAACTGTATATACATCAATTTTTATCGATAATCTTTCTCCTCGATGATTCTTTCCAAGGATCGTACGATTGGTTTGTTTGCTGTTGGTGGACACCTGTGAAAAACTTCGAATCCACAGTCTCGATCGATGAAAATTTTTCTAATTTTTCATTCGGACAATTGTTAAAGTTAATCGATATTTTATTATTGTTATATTAGTAACTCTTGTGATTCAAGGCTCTTCGGTGAACTTACTGCGAGATCCCTCGAAAGAAAGCAAATTGAATGATCCTTCAGGCACCTTCGAACTCATCGCAGATTTAATTATATCTTATTCCATCGAATTATCGCGGAGCAAATGTTGCTGGTCCTCTTCGAAGCTCGCGAAACAACTGATCTGACCATCGTTTCAAGCTCGATGGATGGGCGTCGTGTTTGCTAGTGGTGGATCTACTGATGTTCGTGTAACGTCGTAGGATGTCTTATACGTGGAGCCAATACCTGACCAGCGGCCTCCACTTATCAGTTACTAACAATAACGTTTGCTCTTTTCATTTGCGAAAAAATGGTCTGGTTGCGTCACACCGAACGAGGGAAGGGACTGTATCCTAGGTAACAGAACCACCTGAGGATCTCCCCCATTCTTTCTCGATCAGAAATATCCTCTATGATATCCACATAACACCCTGGTATTCAATTGTTTCTTGATTTCACTCGGAGTTATTTGAAATATTTTGCAAGACTTGTCGAAACATTCCGAAATTCAATATTTAAATAATAGTCATCTAAGGCAGTTGTTTTTCACACGACACAATTTATCACAATCATCCAGTCAACGTAACTTCCACTTGTTAGACAATATTCACGACGAAAATAGGAAGAATTACATCACAACCGATGCAAATGCTACTACTGTTTTGTCTTCTGCCTTGTGATTCTCATTTACCTTTCTAGACTACCGAGATCCGTTTGTAGCATCAGCTGTTGTTTTAACACTTTTCCTCGATAATTTACTTCGTGCCTTATTCTTCTCTAACTCGACTATCCGCGACACGTCGCGTCGTCCATGATCATTCAGCCACATCCTCGTCGCTTTTCAAACGTGCTTTACACGGTCGCACACGTTTAATCTTTATTGCACCGATGTGCAACGATTTCGCTGATACCAGGCTGACAGTTGCTTACTCTCTTTGCACGGTAATTAAAGGAATTACTCATGAAAATGGAATTCACCGATACGTGCGTTCCATCTTCTTTTCGCCAGAGTCATCGTGTAGACCTGGGACATTCTTGAAATCTTTATCCCAGCTGCGACTCAAATTATGTGAAAATCATCAACAGTACACTTTATTAGTTTCTCGAGCCTTCGAAAAGAAAATTCAATTTGAATTTCATCTTTAGGGTAGCGTAGACTGCGAATCTTTGGAGGATCGATATTTTCTCCTCAAGAATTAAATTCCAATGGATTTGGCGATCTTCCTTAAGATATCTTCAAAATGGTTATTAATAACATTTCGTTGTATACTACAAATAACCTTTTCTTTGGAGAATCGATATTTTTTTCGTTACGAATTAAATTCTAATTTATTTGGAGTCCTTGAGGTATCCTCGAAATTGGTGTGTATTCTTCGAGAAGAACTTGAACGAAATCAGGGATATTTTTTTTGAAAAAATCCAGATAATATTGTACACTTGTGTATCTTAATTAACACTATCAGTTCCCCATTTGTTCTACACTCGATAGGTTCCAAGAGTATGCAAACGAAACGTCTCAAGACGTCTCTCTTGATGCACTACCGACTTCGTTTGACCGACTGAGAGGCAGGGGCATGTCTTATCAACCTCGAGGCATCTCCTTATCGGAATCGTACTTTGCAAAAAACCGCTGATCGCACGCGAATGAAAGGGGAGACCCTACGCGCGCGCGAAACGCTCGTTCGTCGATCCTATTGGAAACGCAGGCTTCGCTTGAGCCCGATGAGCTCACGTTCGTACGAACGGAGAAATATATGAAGTTGCTGACAAGAATGTTTACAGGTGTTTGGTAACCCATGGATTATGATATATCGACGATGAAACTTGCTCCTTGATAATTCAATTATGATTCTATGCCCTTTACAGAAATATTTTACCCTATTAATACCCGAAAGCTGAAAATCGGATTTTCATATGTAATACAAATTATAAATTCTGGTACAGAAAGTGATGAAAGAATAATACTGGACTAATCTCGAACAGTACCAGTTATTGACCTATTTTTTTACGGTTGGATGGCACGCTTCAGGAATATGTACCCGTAGTTAACACTGGAATTACCAAACCAGTAGAAATGACTGGCCACTACACTCTTATAACGATGATTAAAATATTATAACAATACATTTTCTCAGATCTTCTACAACATTTATTACGGTATGAAAGTAAAGAAATCAGGTAATTTATAAAATTGTAAATTTTGTAATTAATGTACACGTTTATCATTGATAGTTCTAGTGTTAAAGGGTTAAATACTGTAGACATACAGTATATAAAAAAAAGTATTCGTACTTAAATCGAACCGTAAATAGAATTATTCGGATACTTAGAATGTTCAAGTGGCTCCACTAGTTCCGGTTGTCCGTAGTCAGACAACGCGTGAATCAAAACTAAATTCGTAAAAAATTCCGATCAGACAAATAAAGTTCTCTGATGCAGTAGTGTTATCACCTGTTGTCTTTATTGATTGCTAAAGCTTCACTCTATTCCGATAATGGTAATTTTTCTGTTATCCCAACGATTCGATCGTAATCCTTCGAGATACGCTGTTTCCTTTAACGATATCCACCAGATCACGTGTTGCAATCATTTTCATTTCAACGATCCACTTTTGGAATCCACGATCGCAGAACCCTTTTTCATGCGACTGAATATCACCGATTTCTTTATGGAACGAGCGTTTCGCGCGTGATTCACCCTTCCAACCCGGCTAATTCGATCCATTGTCAACGAATTGGAGCTTCCTCGGAAAGAAATTCGAGCCGGAAGGGCCCGATCAACACCGGCGGAACGGGTGAATCGCATTAGCCGTCGGTAATTTATTCCACGCGCATTATAATGGCGCTATTCCATAGCGGACACCGCGGTGTATCGTGCGTGTGCGACCGTTTGTAGGCGTCAATTGAGAACGGTACTAATTCCAGCGAACGGAGGAGGTCGAAAACTTGGCCTCCGGTGTTTGTACAACCGGTCACGAAATATCCTTGCCGATCTGTCACGCATGGTTATTCAGGATAGTCGGTGCTCACCTCGGTTTTGCTAATCGAAAAAAATCACTTGTGTCACCTTGAAACAATAATTGTTTCAGTAAACAATGGAAAAGATCTCTTTATCGATTGAAAGTGGGAAACTACTTAACCCTTTAACGCCCAGATTAGGGATGGACGATACGTCTATCTTTTCACTATAAATATCGATATTTTGTATGGGTGTGACGATATATTCCAGGGTCGACATTTAACTCATAAATATCGAAATTTTAATATAATCGCTACATTTCCCGTAACGTAACAGGTCGTAAGGAAAATGGACCAATCACCAGCTTCTCACAATGTTTGCGATTGGTACATTTCTTTTTTCGACTGTCAGTAAATATCTGCTTAATTAAATGATTTATTTTCATTTTTGGATTTTATTACTTCTAATTTAATTGCAATTAAATGATAATATTTGATACCGATAATATCGAAACTCTGGGTGTTAATACGTATCGATACGATAATGAAAAAAGGCTCCGTATCAATTAAAAAAAGGAACGTTCGTGAATCTTTTAAAAAAGCACGCAGCTGAGGCTTTCCAAAGTGTTATAAATGAAGAGACAGTGACGTTACGGGTCTAGGATTAATTAACTCCAAATGAGGACAACGCCTCTTACTTTCTTAAACAGACGTAATTATCTTCGTTTTCTGTTTCTTTTTCAAAGAGAGATATCGAGGGTTAGTATGAAGATCAGTTTTATAAGAATTTTCGATGCATTCTACCTCTTTGATCGAAACCAACCAGTTGTTCCGTTTCATGCGTCGACGACCAGCGGATGATCTCGATCGGGCCGCGACGAATCTCGCCTTCTTATTGATGCAATCACTTTGTTTCCTTCGATCGGACATAATCCAAGCAGCCAAACGTACACTTTCGAAATTCGTGTCTCGAGCCGCGGTTTAAAGAGTCGCGCGTTAATATCATCGGGCGCAAGCTCACTGGTCGGCCGTGCCTCATTGCGAGGCTGTCCGAGCGCTGCGTCGCCCGCTTCGATAACGAGCTTTTAATTAAACTAACGAGATCGGACGAGCCGCGAGGTTGAGGCGCACGAAGATTTTTCGTTTCGTCGCGCGTGCACCGACGGGACTGGAATCACCATTGGAACAGCTCGACGATTTAAATCGATTCGAAAAGCTTTTTTCGAAATCTGCGAATTTTTATTCTCTTTGATGAATATAAACGATTCTCGACAATTCGAAGCCTTCTCGAAATCCGTGATTTTGTATTCTTCTTGATGAATATTCACGATTCTTGACAATACGAGGATTTTCTATTCGAAGCTTTTTTTGGAAATCTGCGAATTTGTATTCCCTTTGATGAATATAATCGATTCTCGGCAATTTTAGGAATTCCTATTTTTCTGGTAAATTGTATTCCTTTTGAAGAATTTTATATGAGTTTAACGAGCAGACTTTATTTCACCAAAGATAAGCTGCAGACGGCTCTTTGAAGGGGTTCGAAGCACTTTGAAATATTCGTTTAATCGTGGTAATTATATTTTCAATTATATATCTCTGTTACGAAATCGCAACGATGGGAGAATAAATGACTTGCTATTGTACAGGATACTGAACTTGAATTTCCATAAGCGTTTCTGCAGCCGGTATACGCCACGGCTGGCTTGTTAAGCATATCTGTTGCACTCTTAATCTGCACAGATAAATACGACACATTAGACGTGTAACGGATAATTGGATTACTATGCATATAGTTCGCGACAGTCCAGTATATACATATGTTGTCCTTTTGTTTCAAACACATCACTGCTGGTAATTGTCTCGTATCGCGTTTATGCAAATTGGAATGTACAATTGGGAGGAGGATGGTAATTCTCTGAATCCTTTTGAATCGTCTAAATCGAATTCATTCGTTCAAGCTCAGACTTCCTGGCTCGCACGTCATTAGAGGATAAAGCGGAAGGATCCGCGAGAAAATCGCGTAGATCCACGGTGGTATCGTCTTTCCTCCAGGAAACGCGAAATCTGATATGCCGCGGGGATTCGTCGCTAGTTTCCGCGATTAATTCTGACCGCGATCCGCAGATTAATCTGCCACCGGTGACCTTTCAGGTCGCAGACGCTGAACTGAATTTCCATCTGCTGTTACATCTGGAAATGATGGATACCACTGTGACGGACACTTTGTCGATCCGATAAATACATTCGAAATTCTTGGTCATGAATATTCTTCAGGAATTACGAACTAAAATTCATGATCCACAGATGAACATAATCTACAAGACAAAAAGAAGCGTTCCATTGATTCCTCTTCTATTTGAGGACTTCAGACTCGTAGAAGATGAATGACAGAGCTAGTATACTATTTCTACGTAGTGTAAAATAAAAAAATGACGAATAGTCTCATTGTGGATACCTAAAGGATCCTGCAGACTAAATTCTGAGTACATGGCCATTAATATTCCTCACGAATTAAGACGAAATGTGGCAGAGATCGGCCTTCAAAGTCGCAGAAAACAAACAACATTGCTATTATATTATTTTTACCTACAATAAAATAAAAAAATAATGAATAGAATCACGATGGACATCTGGGGAACCTTGCAGGCTGCATTCGGAGTATCCAACCATCAATATTCCCCACGAATTAAGGCGAACTGTGACAGATCGACCCGAGACGAAGGTCGGTCGGCTGATTTGCAAATTTTGCAACCGTTGTGACGCAGGCTGCATGCGTAACGGCGGTTCCAAATGGTTGATAAACGACGACGGGTCGGTTCGCCGAACGTGAATTACAGGTAAAAGGTAAACAGACCCAGCGTGAACAACAGAGGCTCGTTAGTCAGACACGTCCTCGCTGTATCTCGAGAAAAAATGTATTGCATCGCGGGGGAACATTAATAGAACTTTGCACGATAAATTCCAACCTGTCACCTAGCCGCGTATTAAACGCCACCGCGGTGAATATCGCGGATGAATGATAATTACGAAAACATTGACTACGGCTGGAAATGGGTCCCTTGTCGATTGGAATTGTTACGATGGCAGTCGATTACAGGAGTGGTGAAGAGAGAAAGTCTTCTTGCTCGTTGTCTGAACGATTACGGAAGATTGCAGGCCTTTGGTAACGATGAAGTAACGGAATCCCTATTTTGTTGACTTCATTCGATTCGAAAGGTGGTAACTCCAGATAGCACATGACGCCTTGGAGACGCCCATTTTACGACTATTTTAGGCCTTAGGCGTCTTTAAGCCGATCTTTTAGGCCAGTATTTCCCAATATGAGGTATACACACCATCGAGGGGCAATTTGAATATTTTGAAGTGCAATGAGACATTTCATAGACAATAGTTTTACCTATGTGTGTGTGTTTTTTTTTTTGAAGCAGCATGGTTTACTATTATGCTAGGGGGCATCGAGAACTTCGAGGCGTTGAGGTGAGACACGATCCAAAAAAGATTCGGAAACACTGTTTTAGAGGATAGTATCACTGTTCTCGAGAAGGACATCGGAGAATTGTGGGGTTCTCTTGAAAAAATGCTTGCTTCTATTATGATTGTATATACATATATACATTCATGGTATACTATCTATAAAACTTTAACATCAAGTCATCCCAGAAGTAATCCATATTTTCTTTGATGCAAGTGGAAGTGAAACTGGAAGTTGGTATTGCGAAGTAGATATGGAAGATGGCGAAATGTTGTAGGAAATGAAGGAAAAGGTATACTACTAGAACGGTAGAAGATTAATGGTTTTAACTACTGTTTCGTACTTCACTTTCTACAAGCAAAGAAAATTCGCATTACTTATGAGATGATGTGATATTATATCTAACAAAGCTACAGTTGTGGCACAGCTTCCCTTTGCACTGGACCCCTTCAATTATTCGCGGAAAATCTTGACCGTTTTCGCAACATTTTGTCCACACGTCACCGTCAGCTGATTCTCACTTTTCCCAGTCTTTCCGCGTCGGTTCTATTTAGAACGGGGCAAACAGCATCTGGCGCCGGAGGATGTCGACAATGAGTCCCTCAAACAAAACCGTAACCGCTTTCGGCCGAGAATGATCTACGGGAGTGTGCACCGCCTTGGGAACGAGCCACGTGACACTTAAACTGTTCGCGACTGTTTTGTTTGGTAATTGTCGGGACGATTATATCTGGTTTGCTGGAGTCAGTAATACGCTCGACTCCCTGCTGATGCAAAGTGGAGGTTTCCGGTCTTGTACTGATCTTCTTGAGAAACCGGGATGGTGGAACGATTTTATTCAGTCATCGTCCACGGAACTTAACGCCTTATAAACACTTCCTTGTGTCTTCTACATTCAAGTACCTACTTACATCAAGTACATGCGTTCAGAGAGCTTTAGCAGGAGCTAGATTAGGTCGAAATTATTCTACTTTATCAAAGCTTTAACCCTTTAACGTCCTGACCCTTAAATTGTTATTTCAAAATTAGGAGACTGATATATATCTTGGTACTTTGAAGTCGAAAATGTCGATATAAAACCGACCTCCTTTTTTAATTTATAAAAGTTATTTTTAACTCTTTAACGCCCAAACACCTCTTCAAAATTACTTCTCACGATTAGCTAACTGAAAAAAGGTCATCTCATCTGTATATTCACGACAAAATCACTGGATTGAAAACATAGAAAATGAAATAACTAGAACTAGTAGCGCTCACTTTGATAACTTAAGATCTAAAAAATTGTGAAATGAAATTTAGAAATGGGTACTGGTTGCCTACACAAGGGGTAACGAAAGAAAAGGGATTGGAGACTCACCTAGTGGAATCTTGCCGACCAACGCCACCGATGCTGCTGCTCTGGGTGCTAACCCTGACGAGGGTGACGTTCCTCGGCAGGCTGGACAATGTCCCAAGGTTTCTGGCTCCCAGCAACGGTGAGTCGACAGCGTTCGGGTTCTCCGGGACCGTCAGCTGGCCCTGAATTTCATGGTGCTTTTCCTCCTCCTCCTCGATGGTACCTGGGAGGCGAAAGAGCTTCTGGGGCTCCTCCATGCCACGAATGGTCGCTGTCCCTACGCTTACGAGTGAATCTCCATCGGGACGAACGTCAGGCTCATTTCTTCTACTTGACTATTTGCCTCTGTCCTCGATTCAAACTCTCATCCTTTCGGTTCCACTTCCTCGTTCCCTCCCGTATGGAGAGTCGTCACGAAATTAACGTTCCAGGATCTTCTTCACCCACGTCGAGGATTAATGAAGCTGTCGGATGTCACAGCGCGCGACAATGACTCACGGCTGTTGCCCGCCAGGTGCGAAGTTCTCTTCTCTGCCATCGTTTCTTCGTTTCCTCTCACTTTCCGCCGGCACACGCACCGCCCTTCCGTTCGTGGAATCCCACCATTCCTCGGTACCCTACGGGCCGGCAACCGATATCACTCTTTTGTAGTCGACACTGAATCGGCTAGATTTGTTTTTTTTTTTTCGTTTTTTTTTACCGACGGGTTTGTTTTGTGATACAGTAATGAATGGGGATGTTGCGTTATGTCACGGGAGACGAGTCTTTGGATTAGGGTTCCGGTACCTAGAATAGCTTGTCCAGGAATTCTTTGGGGGACGATTGTCGAGGTTCAATATTGTGTTAGGTCGAGGCACGAGTAACTTTCTTTACGTCGATTCAAGCCATTTTAAGAAGTAATCTCGATCTATGCTACGGTCCTCATTACCTCTGAACTTTCAGTGACTCACATTCGTTCGCAGATTTTTGATATAATAATTAGGCAATGAAACTTGTCTGCAATTTTTATTTATATATACTCTTGTTACTTGTATTTTCTTTGTGTGTAGGTAAATTTTTCTTAATCTTGAAATAAAATTTGTTTCTAGTGAGTAATTTGGTCAAATAGAAGTGACAGTCTTTTATGAAGAAACTTTTGAGTCATTGTAATTGTTGCTATTTAATTGTTAGGGGAAGGTTGCTAAATTTGGACCATCGCTTAGATTGTAACTTGTCATACCTAAGCAATTTTCATCGTATGATAGACAATATCTGTATGATAGTAGAGATTGCATTAAATTAGTATATAAATAACGTATATTGTTTATCATACGATGGACATTGCTCACGCATGACAAGTTATAGTAGCAAGCTTCCCCTATTCAGTAATTGTTCTTTTAGTGTTCCTGACGGAAGTTAATTCTGACTCGACGTAATAGATTCCAGCTTTCAGTGAATATTAAAGAGACTCTATTGATTATTTGGAGAGATTCTTTGGACAGGAGAAAATTCATTTGTCAGTTTCGTCGTGAAAGTTGACTCGGATATAGATTCCGGGAATACGCCCGGATCAGTCATTCTGGTCTTATATTTTCGGTCGAAAAGAAATTCGGAGATGAGTCACTGGCAATTTAATCGCGTGAAATCGTAATAAGTGTATTATTATCTGTAGTATTTTTCGCTCTCACCAGACGAACGCTGTTAATATTCGAACGATAAGCTTCTTTCCGAAAATTTCACGATTCTGCTCGTTGTTTCGAGATTAGAGAAGAATAAAACGGTGAACGTGAATGCTTGGTATACTCGGAAAAATGACGTTATTTAGATTCGGACTTCGATTGCATAATTATTTTGCAGATTTACCGATTACACCGTGAATCATCGAACGACGGAATCACGTAACGATTCTCTCACGCGCGAAGAAAATTTTCGCGAAATACATACGTCTGCGATGATCCCCGAAAGTCTTCGATTCTTCCCCATAGGATTTACAATGTCCCATCAATCATACCGTTATTATCGGATCAAACGATCTCGCAGGACACCGTTATCGCGACAAGAATAATATTGTAATTGCCATTGCGAAACAACGAAAGTGCCCGTTCCAAACGTCTCCGTGGTGTACGAAATACACGAACATTGTACAAATATCTCTTATCTCGAGGGGCAACATAAATTACGCTCACCGTTTTCGATTCACTTTATTTATCTCATAAATATTCAGTTATCTGTCCGCCTGTCACCGTGTTTCGCGGGTATCTTCATCATCCTTCGGCGAGCTGTAACCGACCGTCTATTTATTTTCCATCGAAGGGCCATGAATCAAAACGCGAGAAACCGTTCTGGCCGCCACGACGAGAAAAAGTGAAAGTTCGATCCGTTATTCGTCGACAGAAAACATTCGACATTTCTGAATAAGAAACTAATCCCCACGCGACAGAGTCCCCATAAAACGATACCGAAAGAAATATGAATCGTAAAGAAAAAAGAAATACATTTTACCGAACACAACGCCCAGAGAAATTTTAATACAGTTTAATCTTATCAACGTTGAATAAAATCGATTGTAAATGAGACAAGGAATACGTCGAAGTTTAAGTAGAAGTCACCGATAGAGTGAACAAAAATGTCTACTTTCGAGTGGAATAGAATAGACCGTAAGTAGAAGTGGATCCTCACTGATCAGACTATACTGGTGGCTCTCGAGGGCGTTTTCCCGCGGTTTTTCCCCGAAGAAACAGTAGCGCACGTAAGCACGACGCACTCGCGACTGTTTCAGATTCGTGCCCGTTGCACGAGATTGTGCCAACGGATGCCATGGCGTTTACCTCTTCATGGCGGGGATAATGCAGACACACGTTGATCACATACGCGCGTTAGGTACACGCGTGTCACCGCCCGGCACGTGTGTGCCAGCCTGTAAAACACGCTCTACGATTATTCGTGAATTTCGCCGGATGTGAACCCCCTCCCTGCTCCTTGCAATTCAATTGCAATGTTCGTATTATATTTTCTGCCTCGAAATTTTAACACCGTCTTCCGCCTCTGTAAAAATGGCGCATAAATTTTGGACGGATTTTTGCGTTACTGATAGAAGAAGGGGAAACTAGACTGTGGATTGTACGCATTTATAGTGCAATCGAGTATCAGAAGTATATTGAGAAATTAAATAAATTTTAGTATGGGCTTCATTTTATGTGGAAGTTTATAGAATCTTCTATTTTCTAGAAACAAATTTTTGAAGATTGACATTTACATAAAAATAAACGTATATTTATGATATTAGATTGTTGAAAAGGTTCTGTCTTTTAGGAACGTGGTATGATCTGCTGTAGTTTGTTTAACAGGTAGCTGGAGAAAGTATTTGTAACTCTTCTGGGATCTAGATTATAAAATTTTAATTATGATTGATCAAGGAGGTGTATGATGAATTGCCTGACTGAATTTCAGTGTGCGAAAGTATGTGAAATTCGTTCCTTTGTTATACTCGAAGCATTCGTGAATAATCATGTGTAATTGAATTTCATAATGTACTGAATTTCAAACGGGTACGCTATAAATGCATCAAAATTCACAGTCAACAATTGTTATTAAATTATTAAAATTTGTGGGTCATAAAGTTATTCGAAGAACCAATTTTCTGTCTCGTGAAAAGTTCCAACGATTTTAATTGCCTCTCCTTCGAATTCTCGTTAGGAAATGATCGTGCAGATTCAAGCCGATCCTGCATTCAACATTTTTCATACATCAATGAACATTCCCGTGATTCCACGCCAGGAATAGATAGAAGCTTATTGATAAATATCTCGAGTCCCGTCGGGCGGGCATAATTGCGCGGTTTAATCGTATGCGTGATCGTTGCACAGCGATCCCAGGGAGAAGAGGGACGTTTCCGGTAGGGAGAATGCAGAAACCTGCGCACGTGAGCGCATCATCGCGACAGCCAGCGTGCAGGTTAGGCTGGCTGGATGCACGGTTCTTAACGTTCGAATTCGCATGCTGTGCCGCAGATGATCCGTATCCGTCTCCCGTGACTGGTAATCGCGTTGTCCGCCGTTACGGAAACCAACGTCCACCCTTGTTCACGTTGAAATTTCCAACGCCTGACTCTTTTTTTCAATCACGTTAATCGCTACGATATGTTCAAGATCGAATGTTATAGGGGATCGATCGACGGATCGTTACGTAAAACTTGCATGTAACACGCGAAAAAGAATTGTATAACCGTACGATAAAAAGGAATTTTTTTTTTTATTAAAATAGAAAGCCTTGAGAACGTGGCTGGAAGTCTGTTGATTTCAATGAGGAATAACTTGATAAGATTCTCTGTGTCCTCGAACAGCGTATCGGTGACTAAATTTAGGATATGCTTATGCATGAATGAGCGAAATACAACAAAGCACACTTTTGCTATTCTGTTTTTAATCCAGCGACTGTGATGTCTACATATAGTGACTCGCACGTTCGTTCAGAGACTTCTGAAATAACAATTGGGTGTCAAAACTTTTCTGCAATTTTTATTTATGCATACAGCCTCTTTATTATTAATTTTGTCATCCTTTTGTGATCCATGTGTCTAAATTTTGAAATAAAATTCGCATTTTTCTAAATAATTCGGTCAAAATAGAAGTGACAGCTTTTCTTGAACAAACTTGCGAGTCACTGTAAAATCGTGAATCTACATAGAAACATCTGCAGTCCACCGATCATCTCCCACCAGCCTCGTGTAATTGATTTCGTAATTGTCGTGATATGTGTGGCAGAAGTAATCACTCGGAAACGTGCTATTTCTATTGAAATGCTTGCAGTTTTTACAGACATAGCCTTTGATTTCTTTTGTGTCATTTCGAAACTGAAACTTTGCTCTGCAATTTCAGTAATTCCGAAGGCACATCCACTGAGATGACTGTCGCCTTCCTTATAGATCACGTAGTTCCCCAATTTTTCGTACGATCTACGTGCCTCTTAAACTTTCCAGACACTAAATTTCTAGCCCAAATCCAAAATCTGCAATTTCAACAATTCAGAAGACGACATCCATTGAGATTACTATTGGTTTTGTTGTAGACGAAGGTGTTCTTCAATTTTTGAACGATCTACGTTTCCCATAAGATTCCCTGAAAATCAATTTCTAGCCTAGATCCAAAATCGATGTTCCCGTTTCTCATTCTTTGTCAAGACTGTCGCGCACGATATCACGGAGAAGAAACGAGGTCGACAAGCGATCGGACGTCGGAAAATTCGCGTCCTGCCGGCCATTAATCACTGATCATCCGACCGACCGGAGCGCCTCATTGTCTTTCCGCCGGCGGGATCACGTGAGCCGCCGACAGAACGATCACGCCGATCAATTAACGCATTCCCTCACGTCATCGACGTTTACCTTTCAAACGCGCCAGTGATGCCAACGATCCCCGTGAAAATCCATGGAAAATTGCCTCCACACGATTACTCCTCTATCAATTCCCCGTAGATCTCGATCGTTTCACGAGTCTCGAATACAATAACAGAGGAATCTTCGTGAAGTCTGTCCGCGCACAAGGTGGAATATCAAGCACGGATTCGTCGACACGGTTGGCCACGTGGTCCTCGACCGCTTCACAGATGTCGTTCGAACCAATTGCGTCACACTTTTTTG